TGTTCGATCCGACATCTCGACGAACACACTCGACATTTTTACTCGTGTTAAAAACTTAACAACGCAACCAAAATTGACTTTGCACTCGTCAACCAAGGAGTACAATCATTTTTTTACCAATATCTTATTAACATGACGATATTGGCCAAACGAGCGATATGATTTCAACGGCAACTGTGTGAATGACAATACTTGACAAGGGTCCAAATCCGGGACCGAAACGTCGTTGTTTTTTAAATAAAAACACTGGTCAGTGTAGGTCGTTTCAAGAAACTATCATTGATAATACTTATTGTATTACTTCGTATTAATTTAAAGTTTTATGTGAGGCGTTGGAAAAATTAGACGAAAAGTTCCTTCTTTTTTTTTCGTAGAACCGTCATAGAAACGTCGGTTATTTTAGACAGATTTTGATTTGGTTAACTTTGCTCAATTGTCTTAAACAATTAACCTGCAAGCGGGAGAAATTTGTGAAACGCAGCTTGCATTTGAATAAACGACCGGATCTTCTTATTGCTTCATTTCAATTGCTCGTAATTCGAATACCTCGTAGACGTTTCAATGAAGAAATAATCGTTTTAACGCTGCGAGAATTCTGCCCGTGAAATTAAAGTTGTTCGTATAGAAGAGAAATGATCCACGTCTGTTATCATTAAACGCGGATTTGAAATCCCGACAGAAAAAATTCCATTCCACGCGCGCGATGATATAAATCGTATCTCGCGTATTGATTACCTCGATTACACGTTTCAACGACCCGATCGAATCAGGTGATGGTCCACGGTTTGTCGGCGGAGGGCACGGGAGAAGTCTTGTCGATCGGCCGGTGGAAGGAGCAGGTGATCGCGCCGGAGTTCCTACTGCAAGATCGCGACGGTGCCTCCGAGGACAACCGGGCGTACCTCTACGAGGACAAGCGTGGCCTCCGTCCCGAGGGGCTCGGCGAGGTCAAACGAGTCACCGGCGCCGAGGACGTCGGTCTGCAGCCGCGTCTCGTAACGAGAGTACGTTTGCATAATTCCTGAAGAATTTCCCTTCCGCGAACTCTTTTTCCCGCGAACAAGTGTGGCGTCGTTACACGGCGCCGTCGCGCGGTACATTTCAGCCGGGTTTAAATTACGAATTTATCGTATACGCCAGGAGGTTGAGTGCTCGCCTTCTCGCTATGACGTTTGACTGTCAAACCGAAGCTGTCTCTTCGCTTGAATGATTCAGAGGGGAATAAAAATGACGTGTGTACTTGCAAACATCGTTTTTCTCCCCCCCGACAGAAGCGACCCTGGGTGTAGATATATCCGATCCCTCCCCACATCGGTGCTGTCGTGTGTAAAGTTTATTAAACGCGCGTGGTAATTATTTTCGTAATTATTTTCTAAATTGATGTTGAAACGCGAAAGTTTCGCACGCGCGCGTCGCCGATATTAATGGCAAAGGTCAAAACCAGATTTATTCAGGCGTGACAACCGCGACTGCAGATAATGAACTTTTTAAGCTGAAATGGAAAATTGCGTTTGTACGTTTTTGCGGTAACGGCACAACGAGCGATTAAATCCGCGGCAGTCCAAACATCATAAAGAGCGAATAAAACACGTTGTTCTTTTTTTTAAATCCACGTTATCCAATTATTTCGCTTCCGCTTCGCAAGTCGCTTTGCAAGCGGAAGTGATGAAACAACTGTCAACCATGGAGAAGCTCGATGGATACGTACTCACATTGCGTGTCGTGTGAAAATTCATTTCTCGTCGGAAAGTCGAAAACAAGCTCGTTACAAAAAGCTATCGAGCAACGCGCGGTAAATATTGTGCGTAACAGCCCCACGTGTTTAATTTAATTAATTAATTCCATCACGGAAGGACTGTTATCATGATTTCTTTTTGTGTGGCGTTTAGACGCAAAAGATGATGTTTACAGTCTCGGCATAGCAGAAAATATATAACCGAGCTCGACGGCAAGGCAGCTTAACTCGACTTCTCGCGTCACTTCCGCGATATTAATTAGCGCGCGTGGATATGAGATCGCTTGATACGAAGACGCTCGTTCACAGTCTCTGCCGTGCACCTGCGAGACGCAGTACGAGATAAGGGATCTGGGCGAGGGATATTACCCGAGGTATCTGACCGCGTCGAGCTGCAAGCCGAAAGCCTGCCTGGGCAAGTTCAATTCCTGCCGACTGCTCCACTACATGGTAAGATTACGTGACAATCGATAATCCGTGGTGCGAAGTAGCGGATCGCCCGCCGCCCGTAGTTACCGCCCAAGTGGTTGTCGAGTATTGTGCGAGTATACACAACTTTAATTAGCGCCGACCGCGTAAACTCTCAGCTTATTGATCACCGGACGTCCCATCGCCATCCGGATAAACATCGCCACTCGCCGCGGTGGTAAGTCGCGCCGCCTCGACTTCCCGACAGCGGTGTCGCACAAATCAACACGCTACAGTTGTGCAAGAGACGTCCGTTTAATTACGCGTTCGATTTGACACGCTTCGATTATGCAATATTGCATTGAGTATAGCTGCACGTCTGAATCCCATTTCCGCTTCACTGGGACGGTGTACCCTTGGGAAAATGTACTTTAAATAAAATTAACGTTTTGTCTAAGAGTTCACCTAAACCAGATGAAAGTTTATTTAAGAAATTGTGGAGTGATTTCGGACACTTAAAGTAATTTTTAGATAGCCAATCCTGCCATAGCACTTTCTCGTAAGACGAAAACCGCACGCGGTATTATTACGTAAATTATATCACTTGCGTTTTCACAAATTTTCCTTTCAAATTCTTAAAGTAAGTTTCACGTTTACCTTAAATAAAGGTTTGAAATGTCTACATTTACTTTTCATATTTCTTACTTTTCTAAAGTAAAATTTTCAGGTTTTCTACGGTATATTTTCCCGAGGGTGAAATAAACATTAGCACCGCTCTCGTATTCTCTGTTGCTTGTTAATAATTTTATGCCATTTTATAATGTGACTCTAATTGTTACGTTGTCATCGACATTTTTTTGCAAACAGTTATTATGCTTGTTGGTATATTATATAAATATGCGTAACTCTTAATTGCATATATATATATTTATATTTTTATAAAACACATCCACGCACACATACAAATATAAAGGTAATAAAATATGTTCCAACAGTTTTTATTTAAAAAAATAGTGAATGTTTTGCAACGGAAAGAACAAAAATACACACCTACTACTTTCTGCATCGTCTATTTTTATCCATCAGAGGTAGGGGAGAATGTTAAACAAGGAATAACATTTATCAGCTTGTACGCGACAACACGCTACGCGTTCGTAACTGTATTAGTCGCGAGAAATGCCGTTAATATCAAAGATTAATTAACCTGTACGCAGTAGACATCCTTGTTATTTCGTTTGTAACAAGAAGTGACCCGCCTGTCACAATTCTATAATTAATAGTAATCATTTACGCGTGTGATTATTCATCCGGGACTTGTTGTAGAGCAACGATACAGTGACAATTCTCAATTACAGAACAATATAACAACTTATGACCAGTCCACCGTATTATTGATTATATCTTTCGGAAATAAATGTTGAAGCTACAATGTACCGCAGTACTCGCTAAATATTTGCGCGATAAAATTCTGAATGAGCAACCTACTTGTGAGGTCTGAATTTTCATATAATTGTCCTTAGAAAAAATATGTATTAGTATGCGGAAAAAAATTTATTTAGCACGTAAATCAGATTACACGCGTCGTCAAGTTTAACTGTCCATAAATACTTAAGAATTAATGGTCAATTATTCATTAAACTGTGTATATACAACATATTTTTTTCCCCAAGCGTGTAATAAATCAAACGATAATAATCAGGTTATCATGCAGGTTCACGTGTTGAGTCAACGCGATATGAGCGAGTTAAACGATGACAGTTATTCGGACGATAGCGGACTTGAGGAAGCACCACTTCCGGAAGCACTCCGTCATAAGTGGCAACTGAAGCCGATGAAAGTCCCAGTTGCGTGTGTGCCGGAGACAAGATAGGAGAAAATAATACATGACCAGCACGGACCCCCTCCCCCCCCCCACCCCGCACCCCCAGCGACAAACAAGATCGAGGAGATAGAATCTAGCAGCCTCCGTCGATCGTGTTGAAGATCGATAAGTATTCGGCGAATAGAATATGTGCGGCATATTAAATTTTACGCTTCTGCTTGCAATACATACACGGCAAAATGTGAAAAAATAAAAGTGATGAATAAATAATTGGATCGTGAATTTCGTTTGTGTAATTTTAAACACCCCTTATCAATCTTGAAACCTATACGTTTGGCAAATTTGCAGTGCCCCCATTAACAAAAGTAAACGAGCGAAAGAGGAAATTCTTCAGGAAAACAATTAAATATAATCTAAGTTGAAAGATTAGAGGCTAATTTATTAATTTTCTCTTTGCGTCGAATATTAAAAAATATACACGGATTGAGGGAGGTCCCAGGTTCAAATCCTGGCTGGGGTAATATTTTTCGCAATAAGAATTTTAATTGCCAGATACGGTCGAGAAAAAATCACTGACGTTATTAATTTATTAATTACTTCTGACGACTTTAAGAATATTCTTACTAGTTGATTAAAAAATATAGTTTAAATTGCTGTTGATGCACTTTTGCTTGTTTCTACAAAATAATAAAATATATAGTTAAACCAATGAAGTCTGTATCAGATCATCTATAATCCATGTTATATTATACAATATACCGCTGAGAAAAAAGCAATTTGATTCTCATAATTTTTTGATACTCATATTTTCAAACGAAGAGTAGTTCGCAGTCTTTTATGCTATACATAAAAAGACGTATACCCTCAACCTGCGGAAAAAAGAACAAAGCAATTTCATGAAGCAATTTGCGGTTTCGGCATCAAGAGGATAAGCACGACTAAAATCAATTAAAACATTAATATTATAATCCCCTCCGCTACG